CTTCTCGCTTGCTTTCTTCCCGCCGCGCCGTTTCCTTCCGCCCCCCTACCGCCCCGTTGATTGGTGCCGTATCTAGACTATTTTTGGGCCCGCTGTCTCCTCGTTTGATGGCTCGTTGTCGGCTGGCCTCCTCCTTGCCCTTGTGCCAAGAGGCCATGAACCTCTCAGCTCCCTGTAGCACCCCCGCGTGCCACGGTACCCCCCCCTCCACCTTCGCCGCCTCACTCCAGACTAACTTCGGGACTCCGAAGACGCTCGTGTGGGGGATGTATTTCTTGGTTTTCGAGGACGCAGAAGTGCGTTACGTTGAGCATGACAGAGGCAGAGTATGTCTCCCTTGCGGATGTGATGAAGGAAGTGTTGTTCCTGAGGCAGGTATGGCGTTTCATGTTGCCAGAAGCAGGTATGCCGTGTATTCCGGTGCTCGAGGATAACCAGGGGGCTATTCAGTTGGCGCAGAACCCGATAAGCAACGGTAACTCGAAGCACATCGACGTTAGGCCCCACTTTATCAGGGAACTGGTAGGCAGGAAGGAGATTTCGATTATTCACGTGGAGTCAGCGTATCAACATGCTGACTTCCTCACGAAGGCACTTCACGTCGGAGATTTTGAGTTTCATCGTAATTTCGTGATGAGTGTGAGACAGGAACGGTAGATTTGGAAATATTTGTGTTTGATCAAAGAACTAGGGTGGCATTGTATTACATTTTTGCCTATGGTCTTCTCAATGAATGGTGCTCCAGGATGGGGGGCAATTGGATCGCTATGATTATCGAAGAACTACAACTTGGAATGATCAGGGATGGAAATATATTTCTAGCCCAGAAGGCTATTGTTGCATATTTGAGTTGTGTTTTGGATTATTTTCTTGTGTTTTAGAGTTACTGAAAGATCATGAAGACATGGCATAGTCACAAGCAGGGGGGCTGATAGATATACTTGTAGCAATGCCAAGTTGTTGTTGTTGTTGTTGTTGTTGTTGTTGTTGTTTCTCACATTAGCTCTAAAAAAAAAAAGATTGGGAGCCCGTGGTCTCAAACCCGGCATACACGACCCCACGAAGAAACAGAAAAAAATAGGGTACAAAAACCACTCGGAAGAGAAACAAAATGATAGAAAGAAAGACCAGCTACCGCACCAAACGAGAAAGAGCGTCGAGGAGACCGATCAAAATAAAATAAACGGAGAACGGGGAACGCTTCCCACACCCGCCTACAACGCCGGAGGGTTCCGTGCCGGGTTCCCGCCGACCAGGCATCCCCCGCCCTGCACCACACCCCAGGGGGTGCAGCAAGACGGGGGGCGAAAAACAAACACAT